TTTTTTAATTTATAAAATATATGGAGGGGAAAAATTCCTGGAAATCAAAATTGTAATTTCAGTTTATACACATTATATATTTTATATTATATACATACACATTATTGTACTCGGATTTTTATATACGTAGTTACTAGTCAACAAAATATTCATTTAAAAAAATAAAATTTTACGTCAAAACACGGGTAATGGCTTATTAAAAATATTTCAACTGACTCCGATTTCCTACGTGTACTTATACGAATTGGATCTCGTTAATCCTGCATATTTATAATATTATAATCCCGGCTTAGTAAAAATATCCATCCCACTTTTCACATAATATCATTATTATACCGTATATGCGGCGGCGCATATGGGTTACCATACAACGTACGTAATACGACGCGTCGTGTAGGTTAAGATAATAATAACACGAATATATTATTATTATTATTATTGTAACATGTATGATAGGTATGTGGTAGTTTTTTTCTTTTTATTAAAATCCGACGATTTCGACGATATAATGCGTTTGATTAAAACGAAGTAAATGAGGGGAAAAACGTGTCATCCGTCCTGAACAATCGTACACGTTATATCGGATTCCGTATACCAGTTTTATTATATTGGTAGGTAGAGGGAGCGGGAGATGAGATATAGCGATGATGCAAACACAGATAATAACAACAACAACAATAATAATAATATAATATGAAAGTGTCCTGCGCCGGACGATGAGCCACTCATGTATTATAATATTATATACATAGGCAACTAATATTATGTATGTATGACTTGCAGCTCGACGGCGTTGCGCGAGGACGAGGGAGGCGTAAATCACGATTTTACGATAAAGATCGACGGACGATTAATAATCGATTTTTTCCAATTTAAAATGACTACCGAAAAAAACCGACGACCGCAACGCGCAGTGGATCCTTTCGCTTCACGACCTGTGGACTCGCGTGAATATCGGTAAAAAATAAAAACGATTGTTTGTAATATTAAATACATAATAATATGTATAATCTGATAATCTACGGTACCGAACTGTGTACAGCCGTATAGGTAATTTATTATATTGTATAAAATAGTGGGTCACACGCGTTGAGAATTAAATAGACAAAAATAAAAATAATACCGCCATCGCGTGTTATTTTTATAATAATAAGTAATAACATGACAATAATAATTAATATCATTAGTAGGTATATGAAACTCTCGTTTTGCACATTTATATTGTAATATATAATATAAATATTGTATGATGTGATGCGTGTTGTTTTATGATATTATGTGGCAGTTAACTCGAAAATATAATGAMTCGTTGGACTGCGTGTGTGGAGCTTTATTCTTGTTGTAACGCGAACAACGCGTAATAATAATAATTTAACATTGCAGAAGATTATTATTGTGTTATATTATTATTATAGTGGTCGTTGTGTACGAGATGATCTAGTCGTTATACACGAACGGGGCTCATTAAAAGTAAGGAGAAAAAAACAATATAATTTAATCGGCGCGCCGCGTATATATTATATATTATTATTAATGTGTTGCACGGCACGCGTGTTGCATAAAATATACCTACGATACGTTATTTTCGATAAAAATTAATAAATAAAAAAAATATAATACATACACCCGCAGTCCTATCGTTGATTATGACGTTAGGCATTATTATAGAATACTAAATTATCCGTATTCTATCGTATCGTATAATACATATTTATGTAGGTATACGCGCCGTGGCTATATCACGATATTATATAGATGTTATAAAGCATTATGATAAAAGGCGTATACGTTATAGTAATAATACTACCATACTACTAATACTAATAATAATAATAAGCAATAATACGTTGGTATAAATAAATAAATAACTGCGATGCCCACACGCGTCCTCCCGATTGCGGCGACGACGAATGCTGGATGGATACTGCTGCGTGCTGCTGCAACCCAAGACGGCGGCGCGCGGCGGCCGCGGATAATGGCTCAATCCGAACGCTTTGTAAATCAATTAACTCGTGTTCGACGTTTATATATTCTACGAGAGTAGTTTTTGTACATATTTTGCTCGTGATTATTATTCCACCGCGTTCTAGGATTCCGTGCATACTTATTAAAATGTAATTTATAATAATATTATCATCGTACGTACACTATGCGAGCCTATTGTGTAATGTAAAATACGTGGTGCGCATTCACTTCATTTCTGCAGTTCATTATTATTATTACACTGTTATTATATTATTATCAATGTAGCAGATGCTCCTCGTCCCGCGTGATACAAACAGCAACGATGACCGTCGTCTCCGGCCGAGTAGACGATTAAAAAAAAAAAAAAAAAAAAAAAAAAAAAAAAATGTTTTTAATACTAAATATCGGTATAATATACCATATACCTACGAAGCGCGTGGTAATACTAACTATAATAATATGATATAAATGTTATATCGCCATCGACGTACCGTGTTATTAAAAATGCATCACAACCACAGAATTTATTTTATACACACACTCACATATCATAATATAATGTGTACAATGTACATTGTACTACACAAGACATCGTAGGTATACCTATAGTTTCTATAAGTTGCATACGAACACCGTATTTCGCTTGATTTCCCCGACAATATAATTATTATTTTATGTATTATTTTATGATTACGCCGGCCCGAAGACAGCAATGATATGATGTACAATAATAATTGTTTCTACGCGATATACAATAATAATATAAGCACGATGAAAACGAAGGTGTCTTATTAAAACAATGACCAGAAAGGATAATATAATATATAGATTTCGCCGCACGGACCTCTAAATTCTAATAATGTCACCGATCGACGGCAGGTGCAGATAATGACGACCACGCACGAGAACTCCAAATCAACTAGCGGGTCTCTCGAAATCACGATGCTATAACGAGAAGTTTTTTTCCCGTCCTACACAAACTACAGGTAAGCAACGCATACACTCGCTCTAATATCGTTTCTATACAATGTATTGAAAAAATTGTCCGCTACCTATATATATAGGTACTGCAACTGCACTGCAACAAACGTGGACGACGATGACATGAGAGCAGTATGATATAATTATAATAAATGGTAATGGTTAGGTATAATATTATTAAAATAATACAATATATTATATATTTATATCATACTATATTTTGAATAATTACCATATAGGG